GAAGTTAATATTGAATGTAATTTGGAGGCGACACCTCTTCATTATGCTGCTTTCCATGGTAATGTTGAATATTGATTTTTACTCTTTTTTCATCGATCTGTGCTATTTCTCAGGTCACAAGGATATTGCTGAACTTCTCATCCGTAAAGGAGCCATTGTTGATAAAGAGGATAATCGCCATGAGACACCTCTTCATTCAGCTGCTTCCAATGGTAATTTTGAATACTTCTCATAAAATCTCGTGACACCATTCCCAAGCACAGCTATCTACAGCTGTCACTTTATTAACATATTAATAATTATTAGTATGGTGAATTTTCGGTTATTAACCTTCAAACCGTGAACGTTTTATAACGTTGTTCGTGAAACCGGTGCCTGAGTGCCCCAAGTGCATTTTTGTATGAAAACTAGAGTGTGATAAGAGATAAACGATTTGTGTCTTGAGCAAAGTTATAGAGCATGTCAAGTACTAAAATATTCTTGCAAACACTATTCCGTTATCTCTTATCAGTTCCGCGAAAAACCGTCAAAATCGCGAAAGACGCGAGATTTTCCATATCAATTTTTACAGAACTGATAAGAGATAAGAGATATTTGTCTTGAGCAAAGTTGTAGAACAGGTTGAGTTCTACAACATTCATGAAAACACTAACTTGTTATCTCTTATCAGTTACGCGAAAAATGATAACATAAAAATCGCGTTTTCGCGGTTTTTTGAGTAACTGATAAGAGATAACAAGTTGGTGTCTTCAGGAATGTTGTAGAGCTCAACTCTTTCTACAGCTTTGCTGAAGACAGATTTCCCCTAACTCTTATCAGTTACGCGAAAAATGACAAGTGAAAAACCCGTATTTTTCGCGGTCATCTGCGGTTTTTCGCGTATTTTGCGCAACTGATAAGAGATAAGAGATATCTGTCTGGGACAAAATTGTAGAGGGGGACCATAAGGCGATAGCTCGAATGAAAATGCGGCAGAAAAAATCAGCAAAAGCCTTTAATGTTTCAAACGCTTCGGATGGATGGCGCTGTCAAAAGCTCTCTGAAGCACATTAGAAGTGGTGAATGTGATTATGACAGATCATATTTGTGTTTACATTTAGAAACGTTGACTGTCAAAGTAGAGAATGTTCTGTTAATATAAACCAAAATACCAACATGGCGGGCCAAAATGCTGTCATGGCGGAATCTTTCTCATTAAACTACACATGAAAATATCTCGAAAACGGCTGGGAAAATCGGCAAAATGGACCGTGGTGTCACTCCCTTGGGGGAGTGTAGACACCCGGCTGGTTTGATGGCCCAAAGTTCAAATCCGGTGGATTTGAGCTCATCCATGGGTTCTCGGGATTTGGCCTGATCCCAGCACTTGCCCTGTGGTGAAATTCCATACAAAACATGAGTGTGACTTGTAAAGATACTCACAGGAAAGGAAAAGCTGGGAATCAGACCAAATCCTGAGAGCCCATGGATCAGCCCGAATCCACTGGATTTGAGCTTTGGGCCATCAAACCAGCCGGGTGTCTACACTCCCTCTAGGGAGTGACACCACAGTCCATTTTGCCGATTTTCCCAGCCGTTTTCGAGATATTTCGATGTGTAAATATTTATTGGTTTTAATTTACCACTTGAGAGGTGAGTTTGGATAAATTAGCAGAAAAGCGTATTAAAGTTCGAAATATTCCATCATTCTAAGATATTTTTACTAGAGGCGCTCTTACAAAAATCCATCCACTCAGCCTCCATAAGAAGCAATGTATTGCTATCGGATTACGAGCGGGACAAGTACTACAATATTTTCGAAAATTGTATCTCCTTATCTCTTATCAATTATGCGGAAAACCGCGAAAAACGCGTTTTTTATGTTATCATTTTTCGCGTAACTGATAAAAGATAACAAGTTAAAGTCTTCGGGAATGTTGTAAAACTCAACTTGTTCTACAACTTTGCTGAAGACAGATATCTCTTATCTCTTATCAGTCCATTAAAAATTTAGATACAAAAACTACGCGTCTCCCGCGTTTTTTGCATATTTCGCGGAACTGATAAGAGATAACGGAATAGTGTTTGTAGAAATATTGTAGTACTTGACATGCTCTATAACTTTGCTCAAAACACAAATCTTTTATGGTTTTCATACAAAAATGCACTTTGGGCACTCAGGCACCCGATTCACGTATAGCGCATCACACATGCTTATGTACATATGTGATGACGTAGTATGCGTATGTGAGTATGTTAGCGCAATTCATGTTGTTAAATGTTCAACAAATCGAACCATCTTTGTGTAAATCATTTATGATGAAAAATGATAAAGATACTCTCAGAATTCAAAGGAGGCAAACTAAAAAACATATAGTGTAAAACATCAAATTAACCACTGTGTTTTCGCCATTGTAGGCAAAATATCAGTTGACCTCCATTGTGTTGAAATTGTCGGCGAAATGTCATTTTACCTACATTTGTAATACAATGGACTCCACAAATATTAACCGAAAATTCACCATACTAATAATTATTGATATGTTAATAAAATGCACTATATTTATTAACGTTAAAAAATATGGTGTTTCAAAATTTTTATTAATTATTAAAATATGTTGTTTATTAACATATTAATAAAATACCTATTTTTGACAGCTGTACAGCTATCGTGTAATGTGTAAGCTCTGTCTACATTATTTATGGTAGGCCGAAAAAAACCGATGTGCAATTGAATCACACCATATCGTGTGATTGCTGGCTGTACTCACACATACACTCAGTACTTAGACATACGGTAAGCGTTCAATTGCATATCGGGTTTTTCGGCCACACCATAAATCGTGTACACATAGCTTACATATTACACGATTGCTGTGCTCCGGAATGGTGTCCAATGTCTATAAACGTTTCTACACATTAAAATGCTTTCTACAAGATTTTATGAGTTTCACTAAATAAAAGATTGATTTGATCTTATCCATCGGTCAAAATTATTTTTCAGGTCATAAGAATGTCGCTGAACTTCTACTCAGTAAAGGAGCTAATTATGAAATGAAAAATCATTTGCTTAATACACCCCTTCATTTTGCCGCTTTCAGGGGTAATGTTGATTATTTGTTCTCACTAAATAGGAAAACAGTTTAATTTTCTCATCGATCTGTGCTATTTTTCAGGTCACAAGAATGTTGCCGAATTTCTCATTGGTAAAGGAGCCAATGTTAATAGTGAAAATAATGTGAAAGACACACCTCTTCATTTAGCTGCTGAGAATGGTAATAGTTGAATACTTGTCATTACTAAAAGAAGATTGATTTGATCTTTTTCATCCATCTAAATTACTTTTTAGGTCATAGGAGTATCGCTAAACTTCTCATTAGTAAAGGAGCAAATGTTAATGTTAAAAATAATTCGAATCGGACTCCTCTTCAAGTGGCTATTAACAATGGTAAAGCTGACTAAATAAGATATCGATTTGATCTTTTTCATTGATCTGTATTATTTTTAGGTCAAAATGAGGTCGCCAATCTTTTTATCGGTAAAGGAAACAAAATTAATATTGAAGAGCAATTGTAATAGATTCAATTGGATACAAACAATGGTAATTTTGCATTTTTTTTCACAAAATCAGAAATTGGTTTGATCTTTTTGATCGATGTGTATTTTTCAGGTGACGAATAGCTGAACCAATATAGCTGAATAATCGGATGATTCCCCTTTTCGATTGTAGTGTAGAATTAATTTCAAAACATTCTTTGTCAATCTATGACCATACCAACCAATATTGTTGCTTTTTTGGACCATCGATTAATATTCTGTCAAAAAACAGCTCAAGTTATTAGTCTTTTTAATTGCTTACGATATAAGTATTGGTACGGATTAGAATTTTTTTTAATTTTCGTGACCTTCACGTATATCCGTGCTAAATTTGAACGCGATTTGTATGAGTCATATGCCGTAGGCCAAATCCAAGAATGAAAATAAATTATCTCTCTGTTTCTTTCTCGCATTATTCATACATCCCGAAAAACAATCTCGAAAACGGAAACATCTTTGATTTTCTCTCGCTCTCTAAATTCAATGTAGTACATAAAAAAGAAAGATAGCGGGTACGGTGCGTGGAAAATCGGGCATCGTCAGCACATATGCATTTCAGCGCGATTGAATATGTGTGTTAAGTGTATACACGGGACGAGCGGGCGCGGAAACATTTCATTTTATTACGAAACGATGTGTGTATGGTTGCCATATCGAAACCATCGATGGCTCCAATAAATAGCGAACATCACCAAAACCGATTTTATTGATCGATTCGACGAGACAACGGATTCGTTTATTTCATTTGCTGCAATCAACAACACAAATGTTGAGAGCTGGTTGATTTTGAATACACATTGACACTCAGAGCATCGTTTAGAAAACACACGCGCACACCAATCTCACCCATTGATATGAAATGATAATAATACAGCGCGAAAGTGAAGGCGGTTTTCAGGCTTATTCATACCAAAATGCACTGCATACACAGACAGCAAAATGAAATTAATATTGAGATTTTCGTTTTCATGAGCGAATAAAAGATGAATTTTCAACAACCTACACACACTTCACGAACTCATTAAGAAGAATTGAATGGCTGCACAGAAAAAGCAAGAAGGTGGAACATGAGACGAACTCCAACGCTGAGGCTATATATAAAAGACACGCTTTTGAACATGTAAATGCTTGCGAATTTTTGCGGGCTGTATTTTCTGCACATTCACTGAGTAAAATGGGAGAATTTTGAAACTGATATACTTTTCCTTTGGTGCTGAAGAAAACTTAT